AATCAATTTTTAGAATCAAACAAACACTCAATTCTCCCTTGCGTGTCATTAGTGCTTTTACAGCCAGTCTCTTTCTAGAAGATTAGGTGTGTTGTAAATACGACCTCCTCCTCTTTTATTTTTTCGAGCAACATCAACACCTTTTTCACAGCAGGCTATAGTTTTATTATACCGGTAGAACGACTGGGTGCAGCTACAAAAGACATTGCTCAAATACTTAATGGTTATGGTCATTTATGTTTTCCTCTAGGTGCATTATTTCGATATTTAAAACATTCGGATGGTCTGTTAACATTATCTGGTGATAATGCTAATGTCAACTATGTTGCATTTGAATTTGTTCTGTTCATTCGTAAACATCGTAATATAGATACAGAGTTTGTATTAGCTGGTTATGAAAAAATTTCCCAAATGTTAAGAAAAAAATATAATGCGCGACCACATTGAGGTAAGAAGCAGTTACAAGTAACACGTAGACGTTGGAGTAGGAAGGGATTATTTTAAATTTAACATAAAGTACTTACGTAGTAAATTAATACTTATATAAAAATGGTCCAGCCTTTTTTACGCAAGGGGTTCATTCCAGTTTAAAGAAATTTTATGAGAAAAAATAGAAGTATGATCCAAAAGGTCTGTTTGATAATAATCTTCTTCGACGACTATTCAAGTCCAACATTCTATTTCCGTACTATAGAAAACGTTGTGCTCTTGAAAGTAACTGCATTTGTCAAAAGGATGTTCATTGTGGGACAGGACAAAAATGTGATAAATCTGGTGGATATCATTTATGCATTGATACAATGATTACTTGACCTGAAAGAGATAATCTTTTATGTGTTTACGAACAGACAGAAAGCTAGCTATTTTAACGCAAAATATTTTCTTAGAACTCTTTTTGGAAGAAATTTCTTTCCAAAGCTTACTGGTGATTTTGAAATTGAATTTTATATTGTAAAAAGTGGATTTGTTTTGAAACTTCAACAAACCCCATTTGAAAATATATAAGAATAACTATGTCTGCTAATATTTGATAGTGGAAGAACAGATATCAAGAGAAAAGATGCTGACTGTTCAGTTTAAGCAAATGATAAAATATCTATTTAGTATTTTAATCTTATTTTTCTGTCGAGAAATAGATCTCTCCTCGTGACACGTGAGCGTACAAGACATCGGTCAAGATCCATGATATTTTTCAAACTTACCAAAGGTGAACTTCGACAAGTTCTGACCGAGATATCGAGGCTGAGCAAGGCAACTGTAAATTTGATAAGTTTGAAAAATACCATGGATCTTGACCGGTGTTTCTTTCCGTGCCTTTCTTTTTCTTTTTTTTGCATCCTGTAAAACTAAACAATTTCTTAGAACAGAGTATCGATTTTTAGGGTTTACTTCAAAGAAGCGGCGGAAACAAAGGGAGCGATTCCGCTGTTAGGTATCCGATTAAAAATTTTCAATGTAAAATAGTTTTTGCTGTTCTATATCGTTATTCTCTGGAAGAATTCATTAGCAGCAGCTTTGCAGTGTAGATGTCGAGAAGCTTGAATGGGTTCTGTGATCATTTTTGTCAGTAAACTTTACCCAACTCAGAAATTTTTTTTTCTATTTGCCGGTTTTTCGAGAAAAGGTAAACGGAATATTTGTGATCAACTAGGAAACTTAGTTTGAACAGTGTGTGTTTCTCTCTCTTGTAGCAGGAAAGAATGATAGTTTTCTCTAAGATGTTGTTTAACAAAAAACATCTGTTCTAAACCAGTTTATTACTAAGTAATAATTTACACAACAAAGAGGGTCTAACCCATTATATGTTGAGAGAGAGTTAAGCAACAAAGTAAGTTACTATACCCGTTTCATTTTCATATATGATGATTTGACAAACAGAAAAAAAAGAAAGAGGTCACCAAACAATAATTACAAAAACAAAAGTAAGAGAGAAAGTTAGTCTTTGCTTAAATGAGGACAAGTTCTTGGATCGTCATATTGAATTTCATCATCCACCATGACCATGCAGACGAACATCGTAAGCTTCTGGACCTTTCGATCTTCTAACTAAAGTGTACAAAAACTCTCTCGCCCTGATACAAGTCTCCCTATACGACATCTCCATGAACTCTGGTGAAATGAAAAAAACTTTCTTGGAATATCAGGTCGGAGATGATGATGTCAAAGCCTTCGCATGATTGTACCAGTGTACTATGCCCGTATCTGCCATTACAGTATCTAAATTTAGCAGATAAAAAAAAGAATGCATCTTAAGGTTATTGAGAAAGATTCTATCAAAACTTCTGAAACCAGGGTCTCTGGAAAACCCAAATCTCAGAAAACCAAGTCTGCGAGTTCAATCGAGAAATTATTTACAAGTAGCTCTACCGTATAGAGCAAACATTTCTGAACAAACTGAGACGTCTCCCTCTGTGCGGTACTTTTTCATGAAACAGCATTTGATTTACGGAAAGCCCTAAGAACGTATCTTTGCGGTACGGGAGCTTCCGTAAATCGAATGCTGTTTCTCGACTGAACTCGGGGACTTGGTTTGGTTTTCTGAGATTTGGGTTTTTCGGAGACCCTGGTATCAGAAGTTTTGATAGAACCTTTCTATACACCACGTCAGATCAAAAATTCTTTCAGCTGTTCAAATCTTTTTTCAAATTTGTTATAGCTATTATGGTTGATGAGAAAAATGAAAAATAAAGATAGACGAATAATTTTTCGACCCACTGTAGGTTTAAGTGGCGAAGTATTTAATACGTAAAAGTCGCTGACGAGCTTTGTCAAGTTTCTATTAACACAACTTGTAGAACTTTGCAAAGCGCATCGAATGATGTATGAATGATTAGGCATCATCTTTAGTTTCATAAGAAAAAGTGACCAGCAGTTGCAGTGACATAGCGACCTGTGTATCGGCCAAGTATATCGACTATTGATCCATGTGGGCATATTTTTGGAAGACTGTTTATAGCTCATTTTGAAGCCCAGAAAATTTTCTGTTTTACTATGTATGCGGTTTACTCAAGGACTTTGAAATCGGACGAGAAATTTGCGGAAAAAGGTATATGACTTTTGTTGAACTGGTGGCGAAAAATGGAACGTAATTTTTTTTCAAAGACACCAGAAGGATTTTTTGAAAATAGGGAGTGTTGGGAAGTGAAAAGGGAAGCATTTCCGATAATTTCCACTCAAAATCATACTGAGCGATTTTCTAGCAGAAACCGTTTTCCGTCCTTTGGCGATATGACTTCTTCACGATAATGATGAAGTAAAATAGACTCCCAGATGCTTATGTTCACCAACTCGATCGAGAACATGATCTGCAATCATTAGTAACCCAGGCAGCGGTTTTTTAGAAAAACACATGGAGACACATTTTGGTAAATTTAATGGTAAAAACCATTGGATGGACCACTGAAGAACATCCACAAGATCATCATTCAAGGTTAAGTTGACTTGACTATGACGAATACCACTACAATAAAGTAGAGTATCGTCAGCAAACAAATGAGTTTTTGAAGTGAGATTGTTACCTATGTCCTCAATATAGGTGAGAAACCAAAGCGGACCAAGTATACTCCCTTGAGGTAGCCCACAATTAATTCTGATAGGATTTGATTGTTCACCCCCGACCATTGTCATGATTTGACGATTAAGCAAATAATCCTCAAACCACACCACTAGTTCACAGCAAACGCCCTTCCTTAATTTGTAGATTAACCCCTTATGCCAAACGTTATCAAAGGCTCTCTTAAAGTCCAGAAAAACTACTTCAATATCTTTATCAGATGCTTTGTTCTCATAAATACTATGCCAGCTGATGAACAGTTGAGTGTTTCTTTCGAAAACCCGACTGAAAGACAGACAGGAGTTTATTCAGAGTTTGACTCTAACATAGTTGCTTGCTCTTCTAAAAATCTCACAAATCGGCCTGTTTTGCTGATCCAAGTGATCTTGCTAGTTGAAATATTATTGATTTAGCAAATGGCATAGAATAAGCACTTGCATTCTTTGGGATATAGTTCTGCCGAAAAAATATCGCGCAGAATTCTGAACGGAAAGTTTAAAGAAAAATAGATTTTTCGGCAGAAAAACTTCACCGTGAATTAATGGTTCCCGAAAAATTGAAATTCTCAGCGAATAAATATTTTCCGACAAGATCTTGAGAATCAGATGTTTTTTCTTCACGGAAGTACAATTCTACGGGAGTACGATCTCGACGGGTCATTTCTGTATAAAAGTGCTTGAAAAACTTTTATAAACAAGTTCAACCGCGAAATTC